TATGTACTCCATTATCCATTTTACAACCATCAATTATACAGAAAAATAAAGGTTCTTTGAACAACATGTGCATGTTTCAAAATATCTTGAGCATAGCTACATATTTTAATAACATGATGTTTGAATTGTTACCCATTTAGATCGTCAAAATATAAAGAAAAATATCTATACAGCTAAATTTACTAATTTTGTTTCTAAACCACTACAGAAATAATAACAAAATAAAAAAACCCCACAACAATTAAAATGTCAACTAAGGTTGCCATGCATCTTCCTTTCGATCCTTAAATCTCTGTACAGATACTGATACACATATACCAACTCTCTGGATTGTCCTTTCTTTTGAAAGTTAAAATATGGTAACTAAGAATTATTACTGGAAATTCTGTGTAGTTGTCTCTACAAGTAAACTGGCATATCCATCCCCACCAAAGAAACACACATGAGTAAACACCTATGATTTTATGATTGCAATATACTATATATATATATATATATATATATATATATATATATATATATATATATATATATATATATATATAATTGTCAGAATAAAAAAGGAATGTCTTGCTTGTCATTTTAAATGGAATTTTGAACTTTGTAGACACAATATCAAGTTTAATAAGAAGAAGCACAAGAATTTGTAAAGTAAATCATGTTGTGCTAGTAAATGTACTAGTAGCAATACTACATGGTTAATTCCAAAACATATGTATTTACAATACCCTATTTCCCAGCACTGCTTTTATGATCTCTACTGACCTATTAACAATACCAAACTCACATAGTAACAATACCCTGTTTCTTTGTACTGATTTTGTTTTCTTAAAAACCTGGTTTTATAACAATACTACTTGGTTAATTCCCAAACCCATGTAGTAACAATACTTTATTTCCCAGCATTGATGTTAAGATTTCTAAAACCTGATCTAGTAACAATACTACATAGCTCTCCACCAAACCAATGTAGTAACAATACCCTATTTCTAGGCACTAATTTGTTTTCAAAATCTGTAGTAAAAATACTACATATCTTTCCACCAAACCCATGTTGTAACAATACCCTATTTCCCAACACAGATTTTATGATCTTTAAAACCTGGTCTGATAACAATACTACATAGCTCTCCACCAGGCCCATATAGTAACAATACTCTAATTCTATGCACTTATTTATTTTCTTCAAAATTCTATGCACTGATTTATTTTCTTAACAATACTACATGGTTATTTCCCAAACCAATGTAGTAACATTACCCTATTTCTAGGCAATGATTTGTTTTCTTCAAAATCAGATGTAGTAGCAAAATTACATAGCTTTGCACCAAACCCATGTAGTAACAATACCTATTTACAGGCACTGAATTTGTTTTCTTCAAAACTTGATGTAGTAACAATCATATATTGCTCTCCACAAAACCCATGTAGTAATAATACCCTATTTCTAGGCACTGATTTTGTGATCTCCAAAGCCAGATGTAGTAACAACGCAATATGGCTCTCCACCAAACCCATGTACAGTAGTAACAATACACTAATTATAAGCACTGATTTTATGTCCAATAACACATGATATATTGTTCATTGATGTGAACATTGAGAAACAAATTGTGTTTGGTTGTACTAAAAAGTTTTAATGTGTTGTCCAATTGAAAACTGGATCCAACAAAATTGCAAACGAGAGGGAAATAATCAACCGAAGTGGTTGAAGATATCAGTGTTATTCATGCATGATATGGTGTTAGGTGCAAAATAACCAAGACTGAATTATATCCAAGTCAGCTATATTAGAGTATCTCACAAATAAAAATCATTAATTGAAAATACATTCACTTGAGTGCAAGTGACAATCTTTTCACTAGCACAGGTTACAAAAAGGACAGCCTTGTTGTAGTGATGTTACTTGCTAATGATTCTTTACTAGTTTGTTATACCAAAACTCTTGTAATATTACCATATTTGTAAGCTAATTGTTGTGTACCATTGGTTTGATCTCTAAAACCATTAGTAGGTATTATGGCAGACGTTTAAAGCTGTGCTATAATGTTACTTGCCAATGTAGCATTTCTACATTGTTAATCTTGAAATCCTTTTGTAAGGTTTCCAAGGAGACTGCATTATTCTGAAGCCGTAATCACCAAGCCTGGTTTAATAGTATGGCCAGTAATAATAGTCTAGCTAAAATTGTTGAAGGTGCTATTTATATAATATATTCAGCATTCTAAAGTACTTGTACATCACATTTTAATCATCATAAAATATAGATTTATTCAATAGTAATATAAGGCAAAATTTCTTTCTTAGTTAATAGAATTAAAATGTCAATAGCATCTCATGCTGTTATTTCTGATAATTCTTCCATATAAGGCAGATATTTGTGTAAATCTTTCATCAAGGGGCTTTTTGAATTTCATATAATATTCTGTTCTGCTCTTCCATATGTCTCTTTTCGACATATAGCCAACACATACATTTATTTCCTCCACTAATACAGTGTTTTTCTCACAAATTTTCTGAAAAAATAAAATAGATTTTTTTGTAAACAATGGAGACATTAGCATGAAAACTTTGATCCACCATAGTAATCTCACACAAGTATTCCAACCATATACTCTCAATATCTCAGACAATGAACTTCAATAATTAAACATTCCTGATATTATATTTAGAGTAACTACTATAGATATTGCAATATTTGTTTATATTATGAAAATAAAATGCATTTAACATGTTTAATAATAGACACTCTAATTGGGTCTTATCTCTAGGCAGTTGTTGAAATGGTTATTGGTGAGGAGCAATAATATTACCATCAATGTTTGGATTTCTTTTACTTAATTTTCCATATTAATATTAAAGGCTAAATCAGTTTCTTTTGTACTGATATTGGTGATTCTTCTACGAGATATATGTACTTGTTTCACAATTGGACATTTTTGTCACAATCTTTTTACCTATTCTCTGCTTGTTTCTTCATGCTTGTTTTATTATTGCTTATGATAAATGCAACCACCTGTTGCAAACAAGATATAAGAACAATCATTTATTTCTTATGTCATCACTGTCACCCACAAACACATTCTACTGCCTCTCTAGATGTTTTCTCTCATTTTCAATCAGCTGTATTAGGTCACAACTGCAAAATATTCTGATAATTCACAATCGGACACTTCAATCTCATCTTGCTTTGAAAGCTGCAATTTTGAATAAAAATTCACCCTTCGGAAAACACGCTCAAAAAACTGCCTTTTTCCTCAAGATTTTTAGTTGTATTCAAGCTTAACTTGCAAGGTAATCCAAAATATATCTATAATACAAGAAGGAAGTTAATAGAGGTATCCTGAAGTATATATAGACAGGTACTATGACTCTACGAAGAACATTGCCTCAGACCGGTAAAGATGTCCATAGAGTTGCCAGAGATTCTTTCCCTAGTCTGCAAAACCAGTTTATAGTGTTGAAAAAAGTGAATAGTTGTAGAAGTCATCTGAATCATTATGAATGACTCAACAGATAGGAAAAAATTATAATCTATGTAACTAGAGGGTGGGTGAAATTCACCAGGTTGATAACAATGATATTCAAAGCTGTATTTTATATTATTAAACACATTTGTCAACCAGAGACTAACCTTTCCAATTGAATCATGCACTGTCCTGAGTAAAACCTTCATAATTAAATTGGGGTCATAACAATATTCATTGAGGTCAACATAGGTGTCAAATGCCATGATTCAGTACACCTTGTACATGAGTCTTTAAGAAGCTTAATGGATCAACTCCCTGCAGTCAACAAGGATAAAAACATACTAAATACTCTTTGTGCTATAATATTTCAGTAGTTAGGAGTGCATGTCTTGTCACCAGAAGGGTGCATCTTTGATTTTTCATCTGACAAGGCTGGGTCAGATGCCATGGTATGTCTCAGGGAAAGGCACCTTACTCCAACTGCCTCTGCTTGATATGAACCCACAATTTGTTTGTTAGCCATTTTACACCAAAATCAATGAATCAATTACCAAATACTTGAAAGCTACTATAATCTTGTACATTTATTAGACTCATAGGAGGTGATATCTAAAATTAGTCTATACATTATGCAGACATATTCTTTTAATACAAATAATATTCTCAAATGTTATTTTAAGCCAGACTGCATTAATGTAGATGTGAAATATGTTATGGATGCTATCCTTTATAAATACTAATGTGGGCAGTGACAAATTATTATTTAAAATGGTTTACTTTTATGCTGTTTTAAAAAAATTAGCAGTTATCTCATAGCAATTAAAATCTTCATGTCCTATTGATAAAGTTCCAGAGTAAAAAATTTGATAGATTTGAAAGAGAATACTGAGTACTGAAGACTGTTAGGAATTTTAGCATAAAATAAACTGTACATACAAACAGACAAACCTACCTACCTACCTACCTACCTACCTACCTACCTACATACATAAATATTTTTTACAAGCAAATACTGAATTATAGAAAATCAATAAAGAATCAATTACTTGTAACATCATTAATTTAATATTCAGCATAAAAGTTATACAGTTCATGGAAATCTCTACAGCCTGCAATCCAACAATGAAATATTTTGATTTATTTCATGCAATATTATTTGTATTCAATCAATTCTATGATAAAATATTAAAATGAAACTTTTTGAAGGCTTTCTGTGAAATCAAGTCGGTTTGTTTTTGCTGATATAAAAGGTTAAAAATATATTTTTAAAATTTAAAATGTGTGTATGTGTGTGTGATTTGGATTTTTAACGTAGCTTTAACAATTTTTCAGTCATATCACTATGATGTCTGCAGTGTGTGGTAGTTATACTGATGTTTATCACCGTTGCATCATGCTGCAAACATGTAGCATGATGTCCCACTTAGTCACATTGTCCTGACACCAGGCCAACCAGTCCAAACACTAACCTCTTAATGTTGAGCACCGAGCGAGGCAGCTGTTAGAACCAATTTTGTTAAGTCTTTGGTTAGACTCAGCCAGGGATCAAACCCTTGACTTCCTGCATCCAAGGCAGATGCTCTAATCATTAGGCCACTGGAGCAGTCAGATATAAAATAACAGATCTGTGGTATTTAATGGGGCTTTTTATTGCAAGAAACAAAAATGACTAGTGATAGGTGGTTTGCAAAAAAAAACATGCTCACTACAGCTTGTTAGCAGTGTCCTAAAGAAATTAAAGTGAGTTTGGAAGCCAAAGATTGGAGATATGTATGCAGATACCATAACTGCTCTAAAATATCATGGAGAATGCTGAAAATTAAGTCTATCAAAATCTCATCACTGAAATCTTATCCTTGGTAATGAAACATTGAAAAACCAAGAACAAGAGAACACCGTTATTGGTCAAAATTCTTGTAAATTGCATGAAGCATTAGAATTAAAACTCATTCAATGACTGCTCAATATAATGGGAATTGTTAAATATACATGAAATTCAGGAATCATATATAAAGCGAAGCTGCAGAAATTAAAGTTTTTTTTATATAAAGCTGCATGAAAAATAACATATTTTTGGGAAACCAAAGGCAGGAGGATGGTAAAATGAAGTCATGGAATACTGAAATTTCAAGACCTTATCAGTATAAAGCTCTTTGCCAGATTTTAATGAAACCCAAAACAACTTTGTGGGCAATCAGGTGATGAAACTCAAGTAAATGAAGTCGTAAAATGCTGGAAATCAAACTTTTTAATGGACTTGACATAAAGCTGCTTACCACATTTGGTATAAATCAAGCAAATGTTGGTTTAGTTATGCTGCAAAAAAACAAAGTCAGGACACCAGGAAATCAGGGATCAAAACTCTTATTAATAAGTACTCAGAAACTTAAAATACAAACACTTATGAGATCTCAAACGTATAAAGCTGTGGAGTGAAATTGGTTAAAATCCAAACAATTCCCAGTAAGATTATCTTGCAGAAACCAAATTGTTGATGGACAGACAGCTGCCTATGATTAATGCAGGGCTCTGTCAGCTTCATATTATAATCCTTACTGTCGGTATTTTAGAATAGGCTTCATCAAATGTTGCTCTTTGATACCTACATTTTTGGGGACCCCAGTGGCTGAGTGGTCTAAAGCATTCACCCTTATAGATCTCTGCCATCCTACCTCTGTCTGCCTGGGTTCGAGTCTCAGACTCGACCCATGTGGGTATGTGAAAAAGCTTGTCAGTGGCTTCTCATGGGTCGGTGGTTATATTTTGGGGTTTTTCAGGGTTATTCTTCCACCATTTATAATGGCCACCATGTATAGCCTATCTTGTGCTGCAAAATGGCATCAAACCCTATAACAACAACAACAACAACAACCTATCTTTTCTATCTAGGCACAAGTTTGTTTTTAGCTAACTGCTTTCATTCTTAATAAACAGTGATGCAGTTCACAAGACTTGTTTCTGAATTAAAGTTAAACATATTTCTTTATAAGATGCAATTCTGGACAAAGTGCATACATTTGATGTTGTCACACAAAAATCGAGGATAACTAATATCATGAACATCTTTTTAAGATAAGGTGAACATTTAAGTGTATAAGTGTATCATCTGCATTCAGTTGTCTCCCTCTCCCAGTTTTGAGGCTTAAAATGCATGCAAAACTACATCAAATGATTAAGTTATTTATGTAATACTGTGATGTGCTTATATTGGCACAATACAAATTGTAAACATTCTACAAATACCTTGATCAACAAACCTTATTGTTCTATACCACGTGGTTAAATAAAAAATTAAAACAAATTTTAATCAAAAGCAGGATATTAAAGAATCATATAAAGAAATATAAATGCTGACTGCTACATCTGAAATCAAAAATAGTAAATACAGTAAAACCTGTCTTGAGAGACCACTCTTTGAGAGAACACCTGTCTTGAGAGACCAAGTTTTCCATGTACAGATCTGTTGATTATATAGTGTTATGATCTGTTATGAGAGACCACCTGTCATGAGAGACCATTATATGTTGACAGAAGTGTTGGTCTTTAAAGACAGGTTCCACTGTATTACAATTAATCACAAGCAAAAAAGATAGAATCCTCAAATAAATTGCATTTAAAGTTTAGAAATATTTTGTGGTATAACATTTAAGATGCTACATACCTTGATCTTCTCAGAAGATGATGGGTTTTCCATATCCAGGAAGCAACTGCTTGAATCTGTTGGTTTGGTAGAAGTTATTGATGATCCAAAATGCATCAACATCCTCATTATTTTTTGACAGATCTTCTTGTAAAGAACTTCTCAATTTGTAAATAAGTGGTGGACCCAGAACTTCAATACTTTTATCCTGCCACAAAGAATTGTCCATTAATGAGTTTCCTAAAGCATTATTGATTTCAGTATCTTAATTATTTACCAAGGAGTTGCCTAGCCCTAGTTCATCAAAGGCAAAGTCTGTTTCACTGGCCATTTCAGTGTTATAAAGCTAGGCATAGCATTGCCTACATTAATGTTACAACTAGAGGCATTGGGATCTAATTCAATACCCAACAGGTGCTGACATTTAGTTTGATACTCCTGCCATCAGTTCTCAGATAATTATAGTCCAACACAAACCCCACTCTGTGTCATGCCATGTCAAGGAAATGAACTGATCTGCATTCTCTGTAAATGATATCAACAGCTGACAACTTTGATCTTTTAACACAAGTATTTGTCCCTTTATTAGAATTAATAATACTATAAATTTACCAACCATGAGTTTTCTCCATGATACAAGTGGGTGGGGAAATATTCTTTCATTCAGTCTTGAAACACTCAATTTCATTGCAAGCACTATGATTAAATGTATATTTAAAGGGGGCATGCTAATTACAAAGGATGTAGACAGAAATAGGTTTGCATCATATAAACAAGAAAAATTATGTATGTATGTATGTATGTATGTATGTATGTATGTATGTATGTATGTATGTATGTATGTATGTATGTATGTATGTATGTATGTATGTATGTATGTATGTATGTATGTATGTAGGTAGGTAGGTAGGTAGGTAGGTAGGTAGGTAGGTAGGTAGGTAGGTAGGTAGGTAGGTAGGTATATATGTATGTATGTCATGTATGTAGGTAGGTAGGTAGGTAGGTAGGTAGGTATGTATGTAGGTAGGTAGGTAGGTAGGTAGGTAGGTATATATGTACTTATGTCACATCTGCACTACCATGGCCACCACACAGAGCCAAATTAATTAGGTAATGATTTTGATTAGGTATAATTTGTTGAAAATTGTAACTGATGAGATAAGCCACTCTTCAGATTTGAGCAAATTCATGTGGGTGCATTTTGGACTGATTTAGCTTAATTTTCAATTTTATTTGAACAACTTCAAAGCTCAATATCAACCACTAATAGCAGGGGTTGATTCATACTCTTAAAACTATTATTCACATATCTAGACCATTGCCAATCATATCTTAACCTTGAAAGTCTAGAGACTTAAAAAGTGCTGGAGGACATGTGCAATATTATTAATAAATCAACCCATCCAAGTATCCAGGATCACATAATCTCTAAATTTTCATCAAAATACTCAAGGGAACCAGTAGATTTTCTTAGTGTTTTTCTTTAAAAACAGTAACATTTCTAAGTCTGGACATAGTTATATATATATATATATATATATATATATATATATATATATATATATATATATATATATATATATATATATATATATATATATATACAATCAGAGGTTACTCATGTGTTTACATCTTAATGAAATCTCTCTCTCTCTTTTTTCATACACTCCTGCAAGGGAACCAATGATGTTTTTGTGACCACTGTCCTGCACCCAGTGGCAGAGTCATCTAAAGCTCTCACCACTATGGATCACTGCCATCTCACCTCTATTTGTGTCAGTTTGAGTCTCGGTCTCAGCAAATGTGGGTATGTGAGAAAGTCTACTGGTACCTTCTCATGGGCCATTTGTTCTTTCTGAGGTTTTCCTGAATTATTCCTCCAGCATTTATACTGGCTGCCATGTATAGCCTATCTTGTACTGAAAAATGGCATTAAACCCTATAACAACAACAACACCCACCACCAAAAAATGCTAATCTAGCATACCCTACTGTTAAGCAAATTTCATAATACGACTACATGTATTTTTCCCACTTTTATAATAAATAAACTGTACCTGCTCCATTCATTGGAATGAATCATCCTAATTATATTCTTTTGTTGTAGGGACAAAAATTGTTAAAGTCTGACCTATATAAACCATACATAGTTACCAGAACACAACGGTGTGAATATTATGTTGTAAAGGTAATTTTGTAAATAAAATAGAACAAAAATTCTCATGAAGGCAGTAAGAGCCTAGAAGCTGAATTTTTAAAAAAATTCAATTTTCTCATTTCTTTTTAACTGCTCAATGTGGAAACAATCTCTGATATTCTTCAACAATAACATGATTTGCAGTCTAACTGCTGTGGTGGATGTACTGATGCCCAGACTGGCATCATTATTATTTAGGACCAACAAGACATCATAAGAAGTCTTCTGGTGGAACTTTCATGTTGATATTACTTTCTGTTTTGAAGGGGTGTGATGTTTAGAATAACAATCTGGTGCATGCTCTCTATATTCAATCTTTAAATCAATTACCTAATCCTAACCATTTTTTTCTAAACATATGTAAATGAGTTGGTCCACTATATGAATTTGTGGAAAGTAGTATCATATTAATGTCTACCATATTTTCTTTAAATCAGAATATAAGGAATTGTATCAAAGTCAACTTAATTAAAGTAGAATGGGCTAGAGATAGTTAGATGATTATTTTCATTTCATCTCTGAATGTCAAAAAGGAATTCGTTCTAGCCGACGTAACATGACCGAGTCAGATGCTATGGTACAAGAGAATGACATAAGACCTTTCCCCAAAATCGGCAGGGTTAAAGGCAGCAGCTGGCTATTGATGATAGTTCAAAGTAATGATTAATTATGGCATGATTAGTTGTTTAGTTTTCTTGTTAATCCAAACATTCTACGAACAGGTTTAGGAAACAGTCTATTCCGATTGGTTAATATGGATTTATGGGCGT